CAGATAATACATCATTACCAACCACCCTTCGTTTTATTGCCTCAAGCAAACCTCAAGAATCAATCAGCATGGGCAAACAAGCCCTGCTTCTGATCGGCGATCTCACCCACGCACAGAAAGAATGGTCCGCATTCTCCAGCTTCGCTGAACTCAAAGTAGGCATCTCGAAAGCGGCAGACAAATTTTCCGGGTTGCTGACATACTATAGGAGTTTGCGGGGTCGAAAACAAGAGCCGAATTTCTGAAGGAACTGGAGAGTGGAAGCTATGACAATGTTATCGCGCTATACAGAAGCAACGACTCTACAAAGGCAAGACAACAAGAACAACCTATGCGATGAGACTACTAACAGGATAGGTGTAGCTTACAGGAGAGTTCGATCAAGAACTCGTTTCCAAGCTACCTGCCTCGCTGAAGTATATCTGCCATAATGGTGCAGGATACGACAACATTGACGTAGCAGCATGCACAAACAAAGGTTAGATAACGTGACCCTCAAACTTCCTTATCATTGAAACAAGACATTGTTACTGACAAAATCTCAGGTATTCAAGTATCATCTACTCCGGTAGCAGTCAACTCCGCCACAGCCGACATCGCCATCTTCTTGATGCTTGGAGCCCTCCGACGAATCCACAATCCCTACAGCGCACTCCGATCCTCTCAATGGCGCGGAGCAGGTTTCCAACTAGGCCACGACCCCCAAAACAAAATCCTTGGAATCCTCGGCATGGGTGGAATCGGTCGCGAAGTTGCAGCCCGTGGACGGGCTTTTGGCATGACTATCTACTACCACAACCGCAGCAAATTGTCACCTGAGATCGAGCAAGGCGCCAAATACGTCAGTTTCGAGGAGCTGTTGAGGACGGCTGATGTGTTGAGCTTGAACTGCAGTTTGAGGAAGGAGACAGTGGGGATTATTGGTAAGAAAGAGTTTGCGCTGATGAAGAAGGGCGTGGTACTTGTGAATACGGCGAGAGGGAAGTTGATTGATGAGGCTGCACTTGTCGCTGCGTTGGATGAGGGAAAGGTCTTCAGTGCGGGTTTGGATGTCTATGAGGAAGAGCCGAAGATCCACGAGGGATTGCTCAAGAACCCGAATGTGGTCCTGCTGCCGCACATTGGAACTGCCACGATGGAGACACAAGTAAGCTCTGCTTATACCATTCGAAGTCTTTGCTAATTCGGGTACAGAAAAACATGGAGTTGTTGGTCTTGGATAACATCGAGAGCGCAGTCAAGAAGGGAACGCTCATCACCCAGGTTTCGGAGCAAGAGAGCAAATCAAGACTTTGAATAATACCACGTATCAGATATAGATTTAATGCACCATGATCGAGTTTCTCGTTTCCAAATTTGTCAATGCATAGTGTTGTGGCCACAAATTATAGTTGGATCTAACTCGAGCTTCATCTTCGATCTGGCAGAGTAAACAAACAGGAGTTCAAGGTACTCCAAGCACGCAAACACAGGCCCCTAATAACTACAATGATAGTGCTATACATCTTGGGGAGGAAAAGTCCAATCATATTGCCAGCAGGTGGGCGAAGAGGACATATGACCGCTCCTCACTGGAGGGATCTCAAGTCACGTGCGAGTCAGCCCGTCCTGGCTTCAGCCGCGAAGCACTGTTGTGATCTCACATCGTTTGACGTGTTCTCAAGATCCGAGTTACCCGCTCAACTTCATGCTTGAAAGCCTCAGTAGTCTTTGCTGTGAACTGTAGTGGTTACCTACCTTCGCATTTCCCGCCGTGGACACTGCGTGCCCTCCACAACAGCCTCGTTCTTCGGTGATGAATCCACGAATGAACAATGAATCTCTAGACATACCAAGCCCTAATCGCAGGCGATGAAGGTTCGTGAAACTCATCCATCGTTGACGATGTATGTTGCCCCCGATCCTGGCTTGGGAGACCAGTTTTGACATCTTCCAGTACCTTCACGATCACGACCTACCAGAAGAGTATGGCTTCGACTCTGACTCACGATACTGGAAGGAGATTAAGATCAATGGCACCATACAGTGATGCGAACTGCTGTCACTCCGCTCTAGCATGCTATCTGAAGATACCAGCCTCGCGAGATACATGGGTCGAGACATCGATGGTAGCATTTTGTCTACGACTTCTCATCCGCTGAATCCTTCGAAGGCATCAGCCTAGAGATCGCCGACATTCCATGATATCGATATTGGGCCAAACATAGTGGAAAATAGAGACCAGCCTCAATCAACTACGGAATAGGGTTCGACTTTGGATTCGGAGGCATGATCTTCGACTTGAATTTGAGCCTATATCTAGACTCGAAAATTTCTAGTCCCTGCTAGTGCTAAGGATGTCCTCTTCCTCACTGGAAGAATTGCTCGTCGGCTAAAACGACAGAGAGAGAATTCGAGCAGGGGAACTCGAGGAATTTCAATTGATGGCATGGACTAAGAAACTAGCCAGGATTCCTCATGTTTGCATGTGTTGCTTTCGATCCCGCAGAATGGGGGATATCCGTAGCCGTTATACTTCCCAGCCCCGCATCCCCACAACTCTTTGGGCTTCACTACCCCGCCAGAACGACCTGCCTACTTGATATGCTGGCTCCACTTCCCAGTGAACGGCAACTTCAGACGGCAGCTGTCAGTCTGATGTACAAATCTTTCTTTGTTTATATAAAGAATATTTCCTCCACTACGATGTATTTCTCCACCAAGTTCTTGCTGTTCTTCTGGACATTTCTTAGTTCTCAGTGGTGGTATTCCACAGCCGTAGCTGAGATGATTCCCCCAACTCCCAAAAACAGGACTTGGCTCTCCTCACTGTCGATACAAGTCCAATCTCTACTCTTCCTTTCTTCAAGCTTCACCAATGCATCCTCCCCAGTCTTAGGCTGCTCTCCTGAAGCTTTAGCGAAACTCCTCCCCTCCCACGCCACAATATCATACGCCGTCTCCGTACCACCCAATGGTACCTGGTCAAAACCCTCTCCAGCGTTCCCAGGACCCAACGTCGGACTACCAGAGCTATGCGCCGTGGCAGTCAAAGTCGTTTCATCGCCAACTTCCTCCTACAATTTCGGGCTTTTCCTTCCCAAGGAGTGGAATTCTCGATTCCTCGCTTCGGGGAATGGGGGGTTCGGCGGCGGCATCAATTGGAACGATATGGGCACGAGTGCACTCTCCGGATTCGTAGGAGTGTCTACAGATACGGGTCATCTATCAGCAAGCGGCGACGCATCATGGGCGTTGAATAACCCCGAGACACAGACTGATTGGGGCTATCGAGCCATGCACGGGTCCGTCGAGCTAGGCAAACTCATAGCTGAGAAGTACTACGGGTCGAAAATCAAGTACTCATACTATTCAGCCTGCTCTACAGGCGGGAGGCAAGGATTGAAAGAGATCCAGATGTTCCCTGAGGACTTCGATGGTGTGGTTGCTGCTGCACCTGCCTGGTGGACCTCTCGTCTCCAACCATGGAGTCTGGAAGTTGGACTTTGGAACCTCCCAGTCAACAGCCCAACCCACATCCCATCAACACTCTTTCCCACCATCGCCAAAGAAGTAATGCGCCAATGCGATCCCCAAGACGGCTTGGCAGACGGGATAATCCAAGAGCCGTCCGCCTGCGAATTCGTCATGGAGACACTGCTCTGCACACCGACCTCCAATTCCTCAGCCTGCCTCACAGCACTACAACTCAAGACGCTATATAAAATGTACCACGACTGGAGCGGAACAAACAACGCCTTCCTCTTCCCGCACCTCTCCCTCGGCTCAGAAGCCCAATACCCGTTCCTATTCAATACCGATTCTGGCGCACCAAGCTCATACGGCACATCATGGATCTCGAATATGGTTCTCAACATCACAGGCACCGGCTACAACTGGTTTACAGGGTACAACCTCTCTACCGTCTTCTTCGGGGACACTTTAAACCCAGGCCACGCAAATGCAGACAATTTTGACATGTCGCCCTTCGCGAAGCGAGGTGGGAAACTCATCCATTACCACGGCTACAGCGACGGTCTAATCCCCGCTGAATCTAGCATCTATTTCCACAAACAAGTCCTGGCAGCTCTGATACCCAAGGGCATCTCCGTGCCTGATTTCTATAAATTCTACCTCGTCCCCGGCATGCAGCATTGTAGAGGGTCTGTCGGTGATGCGCCTTGGTATATCGGTGGAGGGGGCCAGGCTTACACGTTGGGTAGTACGGTGCATGGAGTGCCTGGATTTGAGGATGCGAGACATGATGTTTTGAAAGCGGTTATGAAGTGGGTTGAGGAGGGGGTGCCGCCGAGGGAGTTGGTAGCGACGAAATTTGTGGGAGATAGGGTCGAAGGAGGCGTGAGGAGGCAGAGGAAAATATGCCCGTATCCGGAACGGGCGAGATTTGATGGGGTGGGAAATCCGGATGTGGAGGGGAGTTGGAGGTGTGAGAGTTTGTTTTAGAGGGAGTTTGTGAGGAAATGAGGGCGTGGGGGTTGCTGCGAATGTATGTAAATCCTAAAGATGGTATTGCCCACTTCCATCTCGCTAGAGTAGTCTACGGAAGTATTTTCTCTAATACCTTGAGTCATCTGTCGACGCTTTGAATACAAGGAAAATTGAGGGAGGGAGGACACCATATGAAGCGAACAAGAACGAATCTTTCACAGGTAAATTCTACTTATGGAACGATGTTATATTTAGGCTATGTCTTGCAAGGGACCAGTGAGAAAACCTCGCTGATGGAAAACTCTTCGGATTTTCCTAAGTAAGCTGGCTAAGGTACGGTACAGAGAATGTCTTTGAAATTTTTCCTCAACAACCTGGTAGTGCGAGAAGAGTTGAACAAAGCCAAAGTCAAACAGTGGAGATCGAAGCAGACAAAGGAAGGAAGTGTGTAAGGAACATCAACTTTCCTCGTCTGGTGGGGTCATTTGCGGTAGAAAAATCTTCTCCGTATATCTAGCGAAAAAGCAAGTTTGAAAACATGAGTCAACAGTTCCATCCCCGTTGAATCAGAGGCTCTAGTGGCGCAATGGTAGCGCGCAAGACTTCTAATATAGCTGATATCTTGAGGCTCTGGGTTCGAGCCCCAGCTAGAGTGTGCGATGTCATTCCTAATGATAATCAACAGTGTTCATCTTTTGGTTCTAAGTTCTAAGTTTTTCCTGTAAAACAAAAAAAGGGTTCATCAGCTTTGAATGATTGCTTCATTTTGATTGCCTTTCTTTTAATGTCAAGAAAATTCTTTTAGCTTGCTCAGCTAGGAGTGGGCTCGCTTCTGGTTGGTCCACAGTACTTGAGTCATTGCACACTCGGGAATTCGTCAAAGGATTAAAGAAGTAAAATAAATAAAGTATTGAAATTCAACGACTTCTGTTCTCACATAGCCTTTTAGTCTAATTATATATTATATATATAGTATGTAAAAAAAAAATTAGTTTTCTTGCAGCGAGCTTTTAGCGCCCTTAGCTTTTTGAGGAGCCAAAGTTCCCTTCACTCTTCTAAAAGAATGTGAAAGACCTTACTTACTACTACTACCTTACATTACGTGTATCCTCCAAAAGCAAAAAGAAATTAACCCAACCATTAAACATCATCTGCAGGATTTGAACCTACGCTCCCGAAGGAAACAGATTTCGAGTATGGGAATTCAAGTCTGTCGCGTTAACCACTCCGCCAAGATGATTGAATGGATTCGTGACCGGAAATCCTTATGTCATTATATAAAAGAAAGAACGATTTCTGTGAAAGTGTGGTGGGGGCTGAGTCTCTTAGCGAGCCACAGGGGTTTGCAGAACTGCCAACGAGCTACCCTCCCTTTCATGTGTGAGTGAAGAGTGGGGTACGCCTGCAACAGCCGGATACGGCTTCCAAGGTTCCTTTCAGCTGCTAGAAAAAGATCTCAGGCCAAGGTCACTTGCATTCACAAATTTGCTGTGTTATTGAAAAACCCACCCTTCATTGGGGGCTAAATGCAAAGGTACCCCTCCTTGCCCCGCAGTGATACGGAGACAACCCTAACACAGTCAGAGAGCAACGCAATACTTCCAATCCGAATTTTAGGCGCATTCTTTTTTTCTAGCATTCATGTCGTACACAAGCAAAGTTGAGGTGCATTTTAGCTTTCCTTACTCAGCCCTCTACTCATCTTGGTGCTTAGCGTCATCGCCTCAATAATACGGCACCTTCCGTGCATATCACAGCCACGTTCATTCTATTTGTACATCACTATTCCGTTAAGGTACGGAGTAAACCCTCTCTTGGCTCTTCTTGGGTGCGGATATGTGTCACAGATTAAAAGTTATGTTTAAATGTTAGGAAGATGCGAGGCTGTTTAGATCTGGCCACTCGCTTAGCATTACAGAGCGAGTGAGATTTCCCCCTCTGACTTACTTCGTCGAAAAAGGTACTGATTATCGAAGAGTGTGAAGCTGGATTGCCTCAGTGGAAACTCGGTTAAAGGCATTCGATCACGAAATTGAGGATTTTATTGCAACAATATTAATCTAAATTAATCATCAGCCAATCTAGTCGAAAAATTCCCATGACAGGCAGCGCACGTTGTACCCACCGTACCGGAATCCGATCTTCGATCTCTGCAAAAAAAAAAAAAGGCATTCCTACTGGCTACCTGTATATCCATCAGTACTCCCGAATGCAATGTACATGCATAATCATCGCATTTATGCGTCTCGCTAGAACAAAAAAACGTGTATGCAGAGTGTGTTATTCAGCTCCTTGGCGACACACTCCAGCCTCAATCAACCTATCACAACAAGGGTCTTTCAGTAATTATATCCTCAAAGAGCCATTGAGGATTTTGGCTTAGGATCCAGACGATTACGTGCTCTCCATTAACTGGGACGGTTGAGTGCCATTTTCAGCCCTGCTAGGACCGGAGTGTGGGTTCTGTGGATCAATGGACCGTGATAGTCATCTTTCGACACGACACCAAGTATGTGGGCGCAGCGGGAATGGGGGCCGTTTATAGGCAATTTAAATGTAGTACTTGTCGGTGAAATGCTGAAATGCTTCAAATAAGAGTGGCATGTCCGCTGACTGTTCTTCTCTTTTCATGAAGATCAGCTCTCCTTATACATTCAAGCATTGAGAAAAAGATCGGCGTATCAGTACTACATCATTCAAATAAGTCATCATGGATCAAGAGTGTATTCAATTCGTCCCTTTCACTCACTATGACTGGACATTTGCCCGCCAAGGATGGCTGCCATGGAAGTAAGTCTGCATTGTCTGCACGTAACAAAAGAACAAGGACTAACATCCCCAAAGCCCAACCGCATTCTGCCTCATTGCTGCAGTCTGTGCAGTTGCGTATTGGATGAGTCTTGAACTCCTACTCCTTGTTTACGTAACATTCAAACGACATACCGGAGTCTACTTCTGGTCCATCATCATCACCACCATCGGCATCATCCTCCAAACAACCGGGTACATCCTCAAATCCTTTGAGAATACATGGCCCGTCGTCCTAGTTGTCATTATCTGCAAAGTCGGCTGGGTCGCAAACGTCACTGGCTTCTCCATCGTTCTCTGGTCACGACTTCATCTCGTCGTCAGGAATCCTCGCCTCCTGAAATGGCTCCTCGTGCTCATCCTTATCGACGGCCTGGTATGCCACACACCAGTCGTGGTCTTCGAGTTCGGCCTCATGACAAGACACCACAACACCTACTACCGCCCCATGCAGATCATGGAGCGCATCCAACAAACTGTCTTCACACTTCAAGAAACAATCATGTCTTGCCTGTACATCTACCACACGCGCAAATTCCTGAAGATCGGCTACCCAATGCAAACACGTAAAGTGATCGGCCTCCTCCTCCTCGTCCAACTCCTCGTCATCGCTCTCGACGCCGTTCTTACACTCTTCGACTACACCGATAAATTCACACTGAAGTGCACACTCCATCCACTCGTCTACTCCATCAAACTGAAGCTCGAGTTCATCGTCTTGAACCAGCTTCAATCGCTAGTAAAGCGAGGTATGACTCCGGGTTTAGGCGCAGCGCCTCTCCCCCTTCAGGGAGAAGAGAAGTCGCATCGTGTATCACGGCCACCAACACAATCACCATCTGCATCACCGCGCGTGACGACTCCTCGTTCTCAGGAAGTGCAGAAACCAGCGCCGCGGTTCGAGACAGGGTTTGTTACGAAACCTGGGCCGCTGGTCACAGAGCACAGTTTCGGTCAGCCAAGTCCAGGTGAGTCTGTGACGGATAGTTTGGAGAGTGAGGGGAGGGTTTTGGGGCACAGGAAGCATGATTCGAATCAGACTCTTACGGAAGGTGACGAGCATGATTTGAGGATTGTGGTAGGGAGGGCGGATGATCTTGGTGAGGGGCCCGATGATATGGAGAGGCAGTATTTGGGGAGGTGGGATGGTGCGAGCAGGGAATGAGGTGGAATGTGTCTGCGGTGTTTGGAGTACTACTGAATTCCTTGATCATCATGGAACGGGATTCTCAGTTCTGGTGATTTGCGCACATGCGACGATGGTTGTTTTCCCGTCGAGAAGTAAAATGTCCTCTTTTTAATGTACAGAGAAAATGAATATAATGTCCAAAATTTCTCGTCCAGAAGGCGGTGTCACCTGTGAAATGGTTTGAATGGCGTCCGCCAGCTTGCTCAATCTTACCTAGACGTTGCTCGTGTTGTCTCAAAAGGTGGAGTCCTGTCCATTATCTCGGTTGTAGGATGCTATGTATATAATAGCTGTATTATAAGTATTGAAATTTGTTTGACCGAGAGCAACACTTTGGCATGATAAGGGAACAGAGGAACAGAAAAGAAACAAATGCGAACATCTCACGCTCCCCATGGTCACTCTTCCCCTGTATCCACACGAAAATCACCAAATCTCCAGCAACCTTTTCGTCTCCGTCCCATGGGCAGGCAAAGTATTCCCTATCGCAGGGACGTTGAGAGTAATTGTATCCGTCTTAAATCTGGCGTCTATCCATTACGAGACCATTATTGTTGACTTTTTGAGCTCCAAGATCTAGTCACCAGCAGCTTCAGCTTCAACTTCTCTCTCCATCATTCTCTCGTCATTCTCCTTATCGACAACCCAACCCCAAACCATCCCCTCACTCACAGCCCTTTCCAACTCCTCAAGGTTCACTAGCGATCGTACCCTCCCCTTCCTACTCAGCCTCGGAACCTTCCCACCACCAAGTCCACCAAGCGCATCAATAAAAAACTGTCCCCTCTCGTCCTTCTCAAACGGATCCCTGACCACCAACACCCTCCGTCCGGCCACCATCCCACTGCCACCTCTACGATCAAAAATCTCATTCAAGCTGTACATGAACCTCGCCGCAAAGTTTTGGATCCTCGAAAACACTTCTGCTGGGACGACTTCACGGAAAATTTCGACCTTGAAGCGTCCTTTCTGGACGGGCCACGCAGCGAAGCTGGGGTCCGCCATCTCGTCTTTCGGCCATCCTCCTCGTGGCGCCCTGGGCGATAGACGGTTATGACTCGTCACGAAATAATCCCTCTCCAAATCAACGTACATCAAAGCCTTCCTCTCGAACGGGAAAGCCAATTCGCGACCCCTTCGTATACCAGGGAGATCATGCAGCGCCGGGAGATCTTCCTTGGCGGGGCGGCAATTGGTGTCGAATGCGAGCTCGTAGTGCTTTAATGCTACGGCTCGAGCATCACGACAGGTGTGTAGGAGTGAGGGGACGGGAAGCTTTTTGGTGACCCAGACATGGATGAAGGGTTGGTTGGGGTGCCGGCCTGGGAGGTGGATTTCGCCGCGTTCGGTGCGGATGTGAATTAGGCGGGGTGGGGGGAGAGAGAGAGACCAGATCTCGGTGCGGAGTTCGAGAGGGAGATGGGGGAAGAGGTGGAATATTTGGGGTTGGGGAGGAAAGGATGGAGGCATCTTACGAGGTGTGCTGATGGTTGATGATGGAGGCGCAGATGTGAGATGATCAAGTGAGGTTCTTCAGCTCATCCACGCTAGAGAAATAGAATACCTTGGCCAGCTTTGAAGATGCCAAAGTCAATTACAAGCCACGAGAAGGAGAAATGTAAAACAAAGGAACATACAAACAGTTCGTAGTTGAAGTAATTGTATAAATAGTGGCAAAGAGGAGACGCTTAAAACTTGACAGCTGTTGTTCACCAATTGCAGGCAGCAACCATCACATGACCTAATCAAAAAGCGAAAAGGAAGCAATAATTTTGGGCCAATAGCAACGTTTATATGTCGATTATTAAGAGTTCTCTATGCTGCTAGTGGCTTTTTTCTGATCTAACACTTCTCTGGGGTTGACATAGCCTCGACACCAGCTTGGAGAGCAAGTATGTGGCTCCAATCATGACTATCCTCACCAGCACTCCAAGCCATGACTCCGCCAAGTCCCTTAGCCTTGACAATCTCCTCAAACTTTCTGGCGATCAAGGCAGCGGTATCCCAGGTCCAGAAAAGGCTATTCTTCTTGTCAAAGTAGTACTGTCCTCCAGCGACTTCGTCGGTAATGCCATTAGTCATCGCAGTCTTGAAATGCGTGGTGATGGATGTGCTGTTGCAGACACCGTAGTCGGACTGGCAGTTACTGCAGTGACCGGTAGTCGATCCACAGAATCCGAAAGCGCTGCAGCAGTTTCCGGGAGTGCAGAAGTGTCCGACTGCTGCTCCACATGATCCGTCGG